GTAGGCGGCATTAAATGTAAGTAAAAAAGAACTCAAACCGGAGAACTTTCTGCTGCCATTCTAACAGAGAAGTGCAAACAAATGCAGCAAATGTGAAAAAAACCCTGATACCACTTTTTAGATCATTTGTTGCCTCTTTAAAAGCACACATCCACATATTTATCTACATTCAGTTAGGATTTGCACTGAGGAAATTCTTTAAATCTTGCATACGATATGAATATCGAATATAAATGGGCATGATAGTTCATATCCATTAAAACATGGATATAGGATTTCAAAATGAACTTTAGATTGTTACTTTTAATTGTTTCATTAACCCAGTATCTAAAAAAAAAGTCCAAAAGTTTTCCCAGATAAATTGCTGTCTTTCTGCTTTTTCATAGTACAGATATTAGGTAAGTTTTGAATTCCTTAAAAAAAAAACTGGGCTTTTCTATTAAGGTAACATGGAATCAGATGCTTTATTGGTTGAATACTGTGCCTTTGAGACTGCATGAAAGTAAATTTTTTTCCCAATTCTTGATAGGGCTAGGAATGTATGAAACACCTCTCTTTCTTGCCCATGAAGAAGAATCAGGGGGTCGTAGTGTCCCAACAACTCCACTACAAGTTGCAGCACCTGGTGAGCTCCGTTTCTACAGATCATGCATTCCTAATAGTGTTATTAGAGCAGAATGTTTGTTGACAGAAATGGAACTGTTTGGTGGGAAAACAGATGTCAGAGAAACACTAGATCAGTGGATCCAAGTTTATTATCACATAACAAAAAGTGTAGTTTATGACACTCTAGTTTCCTCCACCTCCTCTGATGCTGTGTCTGTTCAAAAATAGATATCTGTTTTTCATGTAAAAGCCTACAAATCCCTAATTATGATTGATTCTCTCTCCTACCCCGAAATCAACATAAAATTCAATCTTGGTCACCTCAAGGCAGAAGGCCACTGCTTTACTACTGGAGACTTGTAAGCACAGACTACAATTTTTCTATAATTGCACATGCCCTGAAAGCAGTAAAGGTGTTTTTATTGAATTTGTAATACAGGGATAAGCAATTTTAGGGAAGCTAGGTTCATTTTTAACTTTTTATGAGAGTCCAGGTGGTTGGAGTTGGTATGAAATTTGAGAGTGCTGGGCTTAATTTGAAGCAATGTTAAACCTTTTCAGGGAGTTGGTAAGATGCTACACTGAATAGTAATAGGGGCTACAGAAGTACAAAGGCAGTTGGCAGATTTCATATTTTGATGATGCCAATTGTTCTGACTGGCAAGTAGCAGAAGCAAGAATGTTTAACAGTATAAAGATACATAATAACACACATTTCTACTTTCCAAATGTGGCTTTTTTTACTATAGTGTTTTTTGTAATGGGGAGAGAGAAAGCATCATCTTGGGTAGATTTGGCTTACACCGTTCTCCCCCATTTTCAGTGTCTGTATTTACTGAAAGCGCCTCTGCTGATGCTTCCGAGCACGCCTCGCAATCTGTTCCAATGGTTACAACTTCCACTGGTAACTTATCTACCACTTCAGAATCTGGAACAGGTGATGATGGTGACGAGGTTTTTGTGGAGGCAGAATCGGAAGGGTAAGTTGAAGTTTTCGGTTCGCTACGATCAGATTTTACCTGCAAAATCACCTGAATAAGATAGGTACAATCTAACTCAGGGATGTCAAACTCGCGGCCTGTGGGACAATGCATCACGTGCTGGCCACGCCCACCCCTGGTTTAGCAAAGGAGGAAAAAGTTGTGATATGTCACATGACAGTGTGTTGACACCCTTGATCTAACTGAAATGCTGATGTTCTGATCATTCATTACCTATCACTGAATCTTTTGCATTTTGAAAACAAACAATATGGTGGTTTTACCTACCAGAATATTCCCATTTCTCCAAGAGTAATATACTCTTAACATCTGTTTGGACTTTGTTCTGGCAGAGCCACTCTACTTTCCAGTCTGAGAGCACTCTTAAGACCAATCTGTTTGGATAGGAGGTTTTGTGCCATAACAGATGGATTGCCGAAAGCAGAATTTCAATTATACATTCCTGGCCAGAATGACTTGCATCTGGGCCCGTGGCATTCTGCCAAATATTTATTAGTAGTAGTCCTTATGAGTTGCTTTTCCTTTTTGATCCCTCTGCAGGAATATAATCCCTATATAAAATTGCCAGAGGGATCCAGGGAGTGATTTGCAAGTTCACTAGGCTCATAATAGAAAATAACATCGATTAGCATTCTAGTTGAAACTAGTTCTCTTCTGATATTGAGGATATTGAAACTTAACAGCAGATAAAATTAGGAAGCACAAGTAAATGTTTTGGGGACATTTCTATGCACCTGAGTTATTTTTCTGTTCTTTTATCCAACTTTGTTGCTCTGACTAAGGCTAAGTATAGTTAATTCTTGATAATGATGTACTTTGTTATTGAGCATAATGTGGCTATAGAGCCACTTGAAGTAATTTTGATAGATGGACTTGATAACTTCATTGCTAAGTTTTCCCAGTGTTCAGTTGAGCTTTTTTTTAAAACTGATTATATTTTCTTAGAGCAAAACACCATTATTATTTTGCTCAACTGTAATAGAAATAGTCTCGATACATATTACTTGTAGTAAAAATTAGCAGAGAACTAACACAGAGCTGGAGAAAACCAGTGAGAGATTTACTTCTGCGGTTCCATTTTTTTCTTATTCCACCGTTAAAAGGAAATAAAAGTCTCCATACTAGTTCTCACAGATATGGTAAGTGTTACTTTGCTAGAACAATAAAGATGAAATTCAGGTTTCACCACTGAATATGTCATCTCCTGTGCCATCACTAGGTGTGGGTGAACATAAAGTGTAGGCTGCTTCCAAAGTTATGGTGGTTTTCTGAGTAAAATTAAGGTATTTCAGAGGGCCTTAAAAGCCTGGCTGTTCTCCTGGGGCTCTGTGTTTGTATATATTTTTGAGGTTGTTGTTGTTCCTTTTGTTCTAGAATTTCTTCAGAGGTAGGTCTAGACATTGATAGCCAGCAAGAGGAGGAATCATCTCAAACTCCTGATGAATCAGATCTTCCTTCTACCAGTCAAGATCCTCCATCTAGTTCATCTGCAGGTATATATAACTCCATCAAATCTTGGATCCATATAACCATCATTTGGAGTACAGGTAGTCCTCACTTAAGCACTGGAAGTTATGACGGAGCCCCCAAAAGCTACTTAGGATCCAGTTCCCAGAGTTCCAATGGCTGCATACATCCCAGTAGTCAACATGACTGCATTTCAGATGCCTGTCACCTGGCTTATCTATATGGCTGGTTGCAACGTTTTGGGTCATATGATCATGATTGCCAGTTTCCAAAAAAACCCCACCCATGGGAATATATGGATTCACTTAATGACTGTGGCATTCACTTAACGACTACCATTAAAAAAAAAACCCATAAAGCTGGGTGTGGTCAGGTGAGTGCCTTGACTTAACAACTGTCATGACTCATGATGGAAATTTTGGTCTACGTTATGATAATAAATTGAGGACTACCTGTACTTATGAATTTTTATTGATATGGGACATCAAACGAGGAATAATTGAGCCCCTGATGGTTTTGTATTTCTCCACCATTTCAGCTTTTATTGTAGAAAAGATTGCAGTCTGTGGATATGAAAAGGAAGGATTCTCACTAATCACTCTCTGTATCTTAAAGATCCATTTGGGCATGAACTCTGATCATCAATCCTCCAGCCGTTTGACAAAACACTTTAAAAAAAAAACTTTACAGGAGTTTGCTTGTATTACCATTAATTGAAGTTCCATATGAAAATAACCATTCACCCGGTCTACAAAGTTGCATATAGAAAAAAACCAGCCACTTATTTTCTAGTTAAATATTTTATTTGTTAAAGCCACACAATCCTGCAGTACAAAAATCAGGTGGTACCTTAAGAAAATCGATGCCCCATTATTTGTTTTCCAGATACAAGCAGCAATCATCCCAAACCCTTCCGACGCGTTAGACTTCAGCCTCCGACCTTAAGGGCTGGAGTTCGTGGTCGTCAGTTTAATAGACACAGGGGTGAGTATATTTCAATCCCAGTGGGGCTTAGTTAAATAAGTTGCATTACTTACTGTTGAAAAAAATGAAGTATGCATATAGTGTAGAAATTTTGAAAAATGTAGGACCCCTGCTAGCTCACATATTGTAAGAGAAGGAATGGCAGAACCTGGGGGCGGAGTGAAAAGAGGAATCAACCTGGAATCCCTACGTAGCCACAAGTAAACTAGGTCTAATCCCCCTTAAATGTCATTGACCCTTATCTAACTTATGCAGGTGATGACCCTTAATTAAGAAGATTCCTGGGCATAGTGATAAATCAGCTTAATTGATCCTTCACATTTGTGCTTGACATGTATATACCAACTAAGTTAGTTGTTTCAGTTACGAAGAAAATTAAAACATTTAAAGTAGATCAAGAACAGAGTGCAGTAAAGAGATATGATTCATAGTAAATACAAAAAAAAATAGCTTACATGGACAAAAAAGAAATCGTGATTTCTAAGCTGAAACTTTTTTAAAATTGAAAACGCTGTTAGAAGCAATATTTTCAATTACTTGAAGCTGTTTGTCTTAAATATGTATGTTAATTCCACTTAATGGTAACTTTAAGACCTCATTTTTACTAATCGTACTGCTGTAATTCCCAGAATTCCAAAAACCTGCTCCCATTAATATTTGAATGAAGTTTAGGATATTCCCCATTGAGCTTCCAGATCGAGGCTTGGTTAAGATGGGTGTAATGGAACAGAATTATCCACTCCAAATTGTGGCTGTGGTGGCTGTGATATTCAAAATAAGATATGGAATGATTATTTTACAGTAATAACAGTGGCAGAGAAATTCTTGTAATGCAGATAGTTAAAATATCAAAAGGCAAAGGAACATTCATTGAAAGAAAAATATGTAACTGCTGTATCTTTCTTGCAGGTATAACTCATGCAATGGGTGGCAGAGGAGGCCTGAACAGAGGCAACATTAATTAAATGCTGTACAAATTTTGGAAATGGTGTATACGGTTTAGTCTGCCTTTCTTCTGCATTAGTATAATAGCTGCCAAGCTTAAAGCAGTCTTTTTTAAATGTTATAAAATGATTGTTGTATGTACAGTTGATTGTCTTTATTAATAAAAACTAGAGAAACTGTCACACAAAAGCATTTCTTTCAGGTTGGTTGAGTTTCCAAGTTATTATGCAGGACACTTGTACCAAGCATTGGACACCGTCTGCCCAGTTTGCGTTGTAACTGGTCTTGCTATTCTGCTGCCCACATCCAAGTTGTAGTAGTTATCTGAAAAGGAATGGAATGGGAGAACAGGGTTGTTAAAATCACACTACGCAAGTATTAACAGTTGAAAAACAATCGATCATGTAAATCCTCAGTTCGAGATAGGCCTTTCTTTCCATGCAATTTCAGTCATTTGGAAAGCGGCAGGAAGACAGTTTCTCCTGTCTTATTGCAGAGAAAACCTTGGTGTACTTCATAGATTCCTCCAAGGGGACAGATAGCATTGAGCAACTCAAGCGATTGTAAGATGAATGGGCTAAGGTGTATTTGCCTCATTTATCTGCTTACCTTGGGGGAAATGGGTTGAATTTTCAGTAAGATGAAAAAACCCTAAAATATTCAGTCAAATCAAACCAGGACAGAGAAGGGGCTCGTACTTATTTTTTGGAATTTATAAGGCAGCCTAAGGTTTCCTTTCGGCAACAGGCTCTTTAGACAATAGAGGCTTCCATCCAAAAGATCAGGGAAAGAAACATTATGTATCAAGCAGCCCAGTAATGTTGTAACCATGCTAGACTTTTTAAAGAATAAAGGAGGATGGAAAAAACCTCTTGACCATTTTACACTTGTAAAAAATAAATGCAAACTCTTCCTGCCTCACCTTTTGTTTTCTACCCAGAAAGGACAAATGCTAGCCAACTATCGTCCTGCTAGCATTTATCTATCTATTATCTATTGAGATAAAGGGTTCTATGGAAAGCAAAATATCCAAGATGGGTTGCAAGCCTGATCATGGGATTGAATTTAGTATCCTGTATAATCCAGTGTTGTCTGATTTTTATATCTCATACAAAGTCATGTTTTTCTTTCAAGTTTGTCATGCACATTTTGGCTAACACCTAATTTAAAATTCCTGTTTTACTTAACCATGCTAAGACACAGTGGCTATCAGAAAGTGAACAGTAACATTATTGCGTTATTTTGAATAGGATAAGTTATATAAAGGCATATTTCTCCAAAAATCACTGTAAGACAGTAGTTCTAAGCTAAACAAATAGAGCTGAACCTTTCCACCCAATTTCTTTCCCGAACAGGTGGCAACATTTTTCTCAGATGGCCAAGCAAGGTCAGATTAATACTACAAGTACTCAGAATTTTAGGGTTGTATACACTAGGAATTCTTTAAAAGCTTTCTGGAAGAAGGTAATGGCAATCCACTTCTGTAACTCTGTCAAGAAAATTCCGTGGATTTGATTCTCAGGAGTCATGCCAGACTTGAGGACTTTTACTGGGTTTCTTGATAATCTTTGTGTGCAGTACTTAACATCCTACGAAAGGATGCAGTTCCATTCCACTCAAAGAGATCCATTATCAAGTGTATGTTATATATACATACAATAAAATGGGCTGTAAAAATGGTTACTCAGCAATTATTTCATATTTGAAATTCATATAAACCGCACCTGTTTTTCTGCTTAAATAATTTCTAAAAATGGAATACTCATACACAATTAACATTTTTCACTCGCCTTTCAAACCTGTATTTTTGTCCAGCTCTTTAAACTATTTTAAGGAGAGACTAGAAATGTGGTACGGGGCTGAAACTTCTGAAACTGAGGATCTCAAGAAAAGTACAAATAATCTTATGAGAAACAGCCTCAAATAACTGGCAGTATCTGAAGTCATAGCCACAACATACCTTTAGCAAATGCATAGTAATCGTATCCATCCCCATTCTCCTCATTAGGAACAGAAATAGCAGAATTAAATTCTTTGGGAAATCCTCTCCAATATGATGTAATTTTAACCTCTGGCTGCAGTACTCCTGCAAACACAAAACAATCTCTTTTGAAATTATAAAGATGATATAAAATCATTCAGAAGATATTTTAATGGCATACAAGCCCCTGTGACAAAACATTAAAAGAGCAAGATATAATCAACCTCCATACAGTTGGGCTGCTTCATTTGGAGGTTATTTTTGGAACTGTAACATTGTACAACCTAATTAATCGTAGCCTCTAAACAAGGCAAAACAAGGACCATGCCTGTCGAATGATGGGTGATCCGAATGACTGGGTACTGCCTTATCCGGATTCTACGGAAGATCTGACGAGATTGTACTGCACGTCCAAAGCGTCTCTGCCTCAGAACCAGAGTCTTTGGTTTATAAACTGGATAATTCACAGTTACAACTTTCTTCTTACACTTCTTTGGTTTTTGTTTGTAGATATATTGTTGAACATTGCCACCTATAGGAGAAAAGTAACACAGTGAAACCAAAAGTAATACAGTACAATGAAACCTAGTTTTTAAAGACCTAGCCTAACAACTGATAATATTTCACAAATGACAGATTGCAGGAAATTTAAAATAAACTAAAATTTTAACTGCCTCATCCTAATTACATAGCATTCAGTGGATTTGTTTACTGTGTGTTCAGGGAGGTGTCTGGATGGAAATTTAGCTTGTTGCAGCCAAACTCTGCTAAATGAACAAAGTGGTCCATTAAATCAAACAGAAACAAGTATCCTTCAGTTACTTTGATTTCAAGAACAAATGTGACATGGGGACAGTATTAATTGTTTATATGCAATAAAATGAATGCAGATGCAGTTAGGCAACAAGTAAAATAATATTGTTGATAGAGGAAGGAGCTTAATAGCAGGGATGGGATACAACAGAGTTAACTCCCGGTTCGGGATTTACGAGGTTTGGTGATTTATGATGTGCTTCCCTGTGCGCTGCGAGCGAGCCTCGCTCCTGTAAATCGTCATCAGCATGAAGCAGCCTCTCTTTTTTTCTGCTTTTTTAACTGCAGCTGTGCCTCGTTTGGCAGCTGAAGTTGAAAAATCAGGAAATAAAGATCAGGTAAGAGCTCGGGTGGGTGGGTGGGCAAAAACATCACCAGACAAAGAATCGGTTCTATGTCTGCTGCTCTTCAGAGCTACCAGTTCTACAGAGGTGGACAGAACCAGTAGAAACCTACCCCTGCTTAATAGTATTAAATAATAACCAGACTTAAAAATACATATTTAAATTGTTAAGATAAAGCCATTTAAAATCTTTTTATCAGTGAGAATGAAGTAGCAACACCATTTTTTAAGTTTAAAGTTTTTTAAAAAAAAAAATCAGAATGCTATGGATGCTACTTTAATGTTTCCACATTCATGAAATGCCTAATGCTTCTTTGAAATTGACTGCTACTATGCATCATCCCATTGCTTCCTTTTGAAACTACTACTTTACTGCTGATTTAATTAAGTCACTTATTTGACTTAAGCATCAAAGACTCTCTTATGCTGAATGACAGGTGTGCCAGCAAGAGAAAGAAGCCCATAATGCAATATATTTCAAAGAAATAAGCATTAGTCAGGTTTTAACTGCACCTTCCCACTGAGTCCTACTGTATTGCCCCATTGTGATCCTAGGATAGAAGAGCGAAAAACATCAGGAGCAAATGTTAAGTGTTATATATGTGAAGATCATCCCACTGCACAGCTAAAATCCCACTGCGTAGCTACCTTTATTGGGCAGAAGCCATATAGATGCTAGAGGCAAATGATCACTTTACTCACAATGGCAAAAGCATCAATTCAGACTACACCAGGGAAGACCGGTGGTACACCACTCCTGTATTTTTACCAAGATGACCACATAGATAGAAAATATAAAAGGATTTACCACTTCTTTAATGCACCTGATAGACACGGGAAAACAACAGACCTACCTTCTTTGAAAAAATGCACCGATTCTGGCCTGCTTCTGTAGTGAGCTACTGAAAGAGCTCCGATAATTTTCCCATTCAGTCCTCCAAATCCTTTTACAATCAGCTTAGGATAGCCAGGATCCATTACATCATTGGTGAAGCGCCAGTATTGGGACCCCTGAAAAGTGCAATGCTAGTTGAAGGCACCAACACCTAAGGCATATGTTGCATTAGACTCTGATGCAACTTGTAATTTGTTTGTGAAGAAATGTAACATGGGGTTTGAAAGATTTTTCTTCTACCGGGAAAATCATGCAAAATTTAAACAAAAACACTGGAAGTGTGTAGCCAAATAAACTATTCGTAAAAATCTAAGGGCTTCTTAAAATATGTAGGCATGATTTACTTAATGCTTTTATTAGCCTCACTACTCATTGTTTTTATTAGCCTTATTACCACTTTTCACAACTGAATGCCAGATTAACAGCACAATTGCAATTCTATATAAATAAATTTAAAGCAATATAAAAGTGGCAGAAAATGCTATTGAAACCGGAATTGCCTTGTTGAAGTATGCATCTGGAATTCTGTTCAGAACCAACCAAATCCCAGAGAGTACAAGCCACCACTAAGAATACCTTCCACTGTGTCTTGATGGCTGATTGAAAACCACAGTGAAGTATATAACATGGAAGAAACATCAAACCAGTTTTGCTTCTAATACAGAAAGTTATAGCACTGTGTATGTGTGTGTGTGTGTGTGTGTGTGTGAGAGAGAGAGAGAGAGAGAGAGAGAGGTGTTTCAGAAGCGCTTTGCAATTGCCTCCTTCCTAGGACTGAGAATGAGTGACTGGTCCAGGATCACCTGGCTGGATTTATATGTAAAGTAGGACTAGTCTTCCTAATTCTAGCCTGATGCCTTAACCATTACAACAAACTGATCCCATTATTTAGCCTATAGTAAACTTAGTTTGTTGAAATTTCTAGAACTAGCATTCTTCAACTTGTTGAACTTCAGGTGGAACTATGAGTCCAGGCATTTCTCCTATTCCTTCAGAGATACTTCACCAGGAAGAAGGACTACAAACATATATTTTAACAGTGGATTTAAAATAAGCATAGAGAAACAGAGCATCCCATTTATTATCTTAGGTTACATGGAAGGAATTAGCTTGAATTTTTTTTTATAAGCATAAATATTTTCTATAAACAAGTACACGTTAACCTGACCCACCTGTGTTCCTGCTAAGCTAAGTTTATTTATGAGGCTTTGGGAGCAGGACAGTTTTAAGGCAAATTGGCCTTCAAAATTCCTGGCAACTCATCTTAGAGGATCCCAAGTTAAGACAGTACATCAGAGGTATGCAATTTGTGGTCCAGGGGCTGTCTGTGCCCCTGTACATAAGCCCCTGTGCAGCTCCAGAGCCTCTCCAAAAGTTGTCATCAAATTCACAAAGTTTAATAGGACAATTATGTTTTAATTTAGTTTTAATTTTATTTAAATGCAAAAGATACAAAATGAAATTGTTTTTGTTTTGGTCCCAATTACTTCTTGAAGTGCAGCCTGCATATGACTTTAAAGGGGCCAAGTGTACTTCATGCCTGAAAGTTAATGAACTTTAATGATTTCATTTCATTAGGCTTTGTGCAGAGAACTTGATCATGTGTGTTCATGCATACAACTAGACCATTGACTTCTCCAGCACTTCTTTTGATGTCTTCAAAAGTAATCTGTTGATTTGTAACAAGTTGCCTATACTATAAATGAACTGTGGGAGATTTACCTGATCATCATCTGTTGATCAATAATATCTTGTTTTATGTCACTTCATGTAACATTTCAGGTTTTTTTTTTAAATTACACTTTCAATTTCTTAACTCCTATGGTACCAAGACTCACATTGTGGAAAAGAAATATGACTCACCTTGAAAAAGAAGGTTTTGCCGTCACAGTTACATCTGGAGAACACAGTGTCAATGGGGGAAGGGATATGCCATCCCTCAGAGATTTTACGAGGTTGAGGGGAGGGTGAACTTGTTCCATTTAGCAGCCAGTAATAATGATCTGCAAAGCCAAGTAAATACCAGTGTTAAAGAAAGAGAAACAATATATGAGCCTCTTAACAACATGGCAGATTTCACAGTAAATAGAAATTTGTAGCAGATGAATTGGTGGATAGCCCATAATGGCCTGGGTAACTAGTTTGTAGAACTCTGTACAAACATTACCCACCCAGCCTGCACTTGTGTTAAAATATTGTTCCAAATGTTTCTAAACACTACGGGGAATGCTGAGTTTGGGTAGTTTATGAGGGTTGTAAATCATTTCTACTAAAGTTAATGGTTTATTTCTAAGTTGCCCAAATGATCTTGCTCCAATTCTGGAGAGTGCATTCTGAATGTGGCAGTGCACATTAGCAGTGCAAATTTCATTGTAAGAACCATTATGTGAATATATCTTCTGATAAAGTTAGAGAAGGTCTTGATTAGAACTACCAACCACCATATAACTTCACCCTGATCTGGGGCTGAAATATTTACAACAAAATTCATATTTTATTCTGTAATTCTGTATTATTTTGTCCAAAACTTAAGCTCTGTCATGTGCTACTCACCTCTGAACACTGCAAGTGATCCATTTTGTAGAGGGACAATCCCATCTACAGGCTTCTTATTACACAAGTTCATCTCTTCTGGTACATCTAATAAATAATTAACCTTTTTAGTTTTAAAATCCATGTTTGATTTGATTAAAAATGAACCCCCAAATTTCCATTAGAGAGACAGAGAGAGAGACAGAGACAGAGACACAGACAGACAGACAGACAGACAGACAAGCAGACAGACAGACAGACAAGCAGACAGAGACACAGAGACAATGCAATGTTTCCTAAAACTAAAATGCAGTACTTTGAATTAAGGAATAATGCATTGGATTAATATATTATTTTTACCTGAAATAGTTGTGATCGTTCAAAAAAACATGCAACTCATATGATTAACAATGTGCTTAATCCAGATAAGTTATGTAATTTAAAAGAACGCTGCTTGGTATATTATTTTCTATAACATTTCAACTTTTTATATTTAGAAAAATATAGCTGATTCTTGTGTCATTCATTCTGTATCAACTGTGGAAATTCATTGGGAAATTAGGTGGGAATAGTGAAGTTCCATTTATTTTGTCAAATATTTCCATGCACTCTTTCTAATATGAGAATAAATTAGAAATGCTAAAGAAATATGACATTTTGGTAAAGTATTAATCCTCCAATCAGGACCTAAGACACCCACCTAGCTTTCATGCATAAGGGAAATGAAGAATTTAAAATCTCCTGGATTCTAAACTAGCACCTTAACTATTATATCAAACTAGTTTTCTAAGTGTATGAGCATTTACCTAGTTTATAATTATTAAATGCTTTTTCTAGTCAAAAAGTTGGCCATTTACTAACTTGCTGGTCTTGGACTTACAATCTCTGCTAACTTCCCCACAGATTTTCTCCAAGCCAGCTTCCTACAAGGAAATTCAACGAGGAAGCCAGCATGAAGTCAGAAGTTGGTTTCACTGCTTTTTTGGCCCACCCATGGCATTATGTTTCTCTGTTTAGGTAATGATGTATCTCTAAAAAGATGACCAAATGTGTCACGGGTTACCAATATACAACTAAAGCCTTTATTAAGCAACTCATTAAATATATATTCCATTAAAAAAAATAAGTTTGTTCACTAAGATTAGATCATAATGATAGACCGGTCACAATTTGGGGTAAAATTCAACCTTCTCACACTACCTCAGAAGAGGTGGTAGGGACGATTTGAATCAGTTAGGAGAGGTGGTAGGGACAATTTGAATCGGTTGGCCCCATCCACGTCCGGCCACCTTCTTTTTAGACACTGAGTCCCACCAAGCCACTCCCACCAAGCCATGCCCACAGAGCCAGTAGAGAAAAATTTTGAATTTCACCTCTGGGTCACATTAATCTTTAAAGAACTGATAGGAGGGTCAAAATGTGTGTGGGGCATGAAAATACCAAATAAACATGAATAATACATCTCAAGCCCCAAATGCTTAGTTGCTTAATTATAGTACTTTAAGAAAGAGCTGTTCAACAAAGCTTTCAATGATCTCTTTTGGAGCACGACAGTATTTTCCAAATATGTTCCTTTCCAAATCTTCAATTTCCATCATGTCCAACCATGGAAGGCTACAGTTAATGGGAATTGTAATATAATGTCTGAGGCCTGAAGCTTATATCTTGATTTAGTCATGAAGTTTGAGGATAATATTCAGGTTAATTGCTATTTTTTCAAATTACCCCACCATAAAATACAGATTAATAGAAGAAGGGCAAAGTACAGTTCAAACAATGACATAAACCACCTCAACAAATTATGTAACAATCCTCACAAAACATCTTTCCAAATTGCAAAGAAACAATTATCCATCAATAAAAACCCAAGAATAAAATTTAAAAATTCAAAAATAGAGCAGGGCATAAAGAAAAAAACTTCTCGAAATACACAAGATTTTAAGAAAAAAAAAACCCTTGTTTTTAAGGCTATAAGGTTAATTCAAATATATTGGTGCTCCTGAGATCATTATCATTTTGGTCTAGAACATATCTCTTCTTCTTTTAATGAAAAGAAGGACTAGGGATGACATGATAGCACGGTTCCAATATCTCAGGGGTTTCCACAAAGAACAGGGAGTCAAGCTATTCTCCAAAGCACCTGAGGGCAGGACAAGAAGCAATGGATGGAAACTAATCAAAGAAAGAAGCAACCTAAAAATAAAAAGAAATTTCCTGACAGTTAGAACAATTAACCAGTGGAACAACTTGTCTCCAGAAGTTGTGAATTCTCCAACACTGGAAGTTTTTAAGAAGAGGTTGAACAATAATTTGTCTAAAATGGTATAGGACTTCCTGCCTAAATAGAGGGTTTGACTAGAAGACCTCCAAGGTCCCTTCCAACTCTGTTATTCTATTCTATTCTATTCTATTCTATTCTATTCTATTCTATTCTATCCTATCCTATTCTATTCTATTCTTCCAATCTCCCTAAATAACAGCCCAATCTTCCTATACACAATTTCCCACTGACACATACATCTCAATGCCTTTCAGAAACATAGTTATGCTCAGACTTATTACACATTATTTCTATCATACAGGGCTCTAATACAGTGATGTAGATAATAAGAAAATTGAATATACCTTTGTACAATAGCAGTGTAGCAATCTTTTCTGGTTGAACATCGGTTGTAGTCTTGTTGATAATCATCTGTGGAGATATAGTTGTGGAAATGGTAGCATCTCTTGGACTGGAGTAACAAGTGACTTGCCTTTGTGTTGTAGGTTTAACAATAGTGGACCAAGTACAGGAATATGATGTAATTTTGTTTGTTGTAGAAGATAGGGTGCTGGAAGTTGTACTTACTTGTGTTACTGTATTCTTGTTAGTTGGGTTTTCTTTTGTGGTTCCTTTATCTGAAACAAGATTAATTTTTTTATTAGTTATTATGTCTGGATGTTCAGGTTTATTTATTTGAGGGGAGGTTGTAGTTTCAATAGTTAATGTCCGAGTAATTTTGGTAATGGTGTCTGCCCTTCTCTTTTTATCATTATCATTTGGGCTAAGTAAACTAAGATTTGATTCTGTTATGATAGCTGTAGTTTTTGTGGTGTTACTGCCTGGCCTGTCATCTCCCTCAAAATTAGGAGAATTACTTAAAGGTTTAGATTCTGTTGTGATGCTGAAAGTTGTCTGTGTGTCAGTTTGTGCTATTGTTGTCTTGGCAACTGTTGCAGTTGTTTCCAGTCCATTGATAGCATCACTATTGGGAGAAGGTGACTTTCCTGATATATCAATATATTTTCTTATAATATCCATGTTTATTGTAGTTTCTTTTGGTCTCTTATTTTTAACATTAACTTCAGGAATGGACATGTCACTTCTTTGGTCCATTGTCATTGCTTTTATGACTGCAGTCGTTCCAGTTAGGAAGATGTTTCTGTTATCAGATCTGGTTGTACCCATTGGATTAATCTCTGCAATTGTTGGCTTTGTAACTGTATTAAACTTGTCATTGTTTGTTATATCTGGATTAGTCACTGTAATTGTTGTACCTATAACATCAGTAATCTTATCCAGGTTGTCATGTCTGATCATATCATCTGGATTGATTATATTATCTGGATCAGTGTGTGTAACTGCTATTTCTGTCACTGCAGTAGTCCTGTCTAGATTATCACCATAATCATCTTTATCACGAGCAGTTTTGTCCTCCTGATTGGTAGTAATTGTTGTGCCTGTAAAAGGCATAGTCTTATCTGGTTTGACATCTGTAATGATATCATCTGGATTGGGTGTACCATTTTGATCAGTCAGTGCAAAGGTTGTAATTATGACTGTAGTAGTATTGTTAGGATTGTCATGTTTGTCAATACTTTCAGGTTTGGTTGAATAATCCAAATTAGATGGTGAGATTGTTGTTCCCATCACTGCAATAGTGCTGTCTGGATCAACATTTTTATCAATTCTCTCAGGATTGATTGGGGCTTCTGAATTTATTGATGTCATTGTTGTCTCTGTGACTGGAGAGGCTGATTCTGGAATGTCACTTTTACTAATTCCATCAGGACTGGTTGAATCTTCGGAATTCATTGGTGTACTTATCTCTACAAATGGAGTTCTTGTTTCTGCATTCTGATTTATATATATTCCATCCGGATTAGTTTTATATTTCAGATTAGAAGGTGTAAATGTAGCTTTTGTAATTGCAGAGATTTGGTCAGTAATGTCACTTTTATAAATCTCATCATGACCAGTTGTGTAATCTGAATTTGTTGGTGTCCTTGTGATCTTAATGGCAGGAGCATTTGTTTTGATATTTGGAATAGTGTGTGTAATTATTGATTCTGTAATGGAAAAAAGAATTTCTGGATTGTCCCTTTTAGGACTGGATTCATCTTGACCAGACTTTGTGATTGCTGTTTCTGTTACTGCTGTACTTCTGTCTGGCTTGTCACTTTTACCAATCCCATCAGTGCTGATTGTGTCATCTGTTTCTAGATTGTCACTTTTATGACTGGTCTCATCTTGGCCAGTCTGTGTAATGGCTGTTTCTGTCACAG